CCCCAGGGTGCATTATAAGAGTGAAAGTCAAATCCAACTATTTGATTTATCAAGAATATCCCAAAAATTGGTTAATGGGGTTGACTAGTTGCCTTCAATCGATGTTGGCACTTCAAAATTAGGTAATGCAAATAGCTCTTGTGTAGCTTGCTCAAAGTTCAACGAACAGTCAAACAGACAATATTGGCAGTTATTGTGAGAAATTAAGTTAACATTATTTCTTCCTTCAGATGCAGACATCTGTTTGCATATAATCATTACGTATATTATCGTATTATTACACACACACACACACGTAACTTCTATGAATAATGAATTCAAAGTTTCTCACTTACATGTTTTTGCAGTCATCATGCCTAAGTTTAGGCTTCAGTGTCTGAAGTAATTCAACAGTCACATGATATTGTACTAGTTGTTTATTGTTGATTGGCATGTGATGTAAAGGTATGTTGTTCATTAGGGTAAATATGGGACATTAATGTCTGCTGAACTGTGGAATATAACTCCTTCACTGCAATGTTAGGCAACATAAATATTCTTTTATTGGTAGTGTTATTTTTTTTATTACTACCACTTATGAGTTAATACCACATATGTGGCAAACTATTGGTGTCTGATTATTTCACCATTTAGCATGCTTAGACAAGATAATTATGCAGAATGTAATCAGGAAGTTGTGAGCTGTTACTAATAGAAGTTGTGTGTGTGTGTCATGTAATAAGTATGTAATGGTATGAAAATATATAACATATAATGATTATGTGGCAACAGATGCCTGCATCTGAAGGAAGAAATAATTCTATCTTAATTTCTCACAGTATAAGTGGAATAAACTTATTTTTTACCCTGTATGTAGCAAATAATTGTTGTCACATATGTGACATATTTCTTTCAGTTTTATGTAAATTATGTACAATGCTATCTTATCTCTCATATATAACCTTTATTACACATTCAGTGGTTTATGAATAATTACAAATGTCATATTTTTTGTTTAGTCACTGTAAAATAATAATGTTTCCATTGTATTTTATGAAGTTAACCATAAATGTTTATCTACTTTTCACAGATGATGGTTGCTTTTTGCTATTTATAAAAAACACAACTATATTTTATGGTGTGAAAATAAAATAAATATTTATGGTTATCTGGTGATGGTTGCTTTTTGCTTTATGGTGTGAAAGTAGATAAATATTTATGGTTATCTGGTGATGGTTGTACTTGGCTATTTATAAGAAAACAAACAAACGAGAACTACTTGCGTATATTGTCCCTATGTTTGTACCTTGTATGATATAAACAAAGATTATTCTGGAAACTTCTTTGAGTATATTGCCATTTGAGTACATTTATCCACAAATGTTTCATATATTTTTATTGGTTTTTCTTTTAACATAGTAATCAAGTATGCTCTATCTGGGCAGTTTGAATTTGCTTATTGATTTATAATAGGAAGTTATAGGCTAAAGTTTTGGGAATTTTTATTGAAAATAAGGTTGTTATTTTTCAACATTTGATCAAAATCTTGTTTGAGAAAAGAAAAATGTTTAATTAGGGTAAAAATAATTTGATATTAATAGTACGAAGTTAGCAAAAATTTATTTTATTTATAACTTGAAAATATTGAATCACTAATTGATATCAACTGTGCTGGTGATGAAATGTGTAGGTAACTGACCATTGTTAGGATAAAATTTCCCTCGGGAAATAGTTGTTTCAGTTTTCTAAAGAGTAGAAAACATTTCTTTGTGATATATATATATATATATATATATATATATATATATATATATATATACGACACTATAATTACTTTAACTAACTATTTATAATACTTATTATAGACTATATAATTCGTGTTGT